GAGCAGAATTAAATGAGATAGAAACCAAAACATTGTTGCAAATTATCCATGAAATGAAGAACTGGTTCTTTGAAAGTATATGCAAAATGATTAAGCTCTTGTTACACTACAAAACAAGAGTATAAACCAAATAAAAGAATAAGAAAGGAAAGATGGCAAACAATAATGCAAAGTATCTTAAGAGGTAATTCGAAAATGCACATGCAAGCAAATTGGATAATGTTTAGAATCACAACTTTCAAAACTCAACTGAAATAAAACACAGCTTGAAAAGAATACATGCAAGCCAAGAAATCAAAGAGTAATCAAAAGTCTCCCCAAGAACAAAAGCCCAGAAGAGATGGCTTCACTAGATAAGTCTCTCAAACTCTTAAAGAAAACCCAATGCAAACCCTCAAACTCTTCTAAAGGAATTGAAGAGTGAGTTATATGCCAGTTATATGCCATTTTATAAGGCCATGATTAGCTTAATCTCACAACCAAACAAGGGCAGTGCAAGGAAGGCTGACTGTGGAACAACATCTCTGATAAACACAGATGCAAGAAGATCTTGGGAGATCAAATTCAGCAATATAATGTATATAAATTGTATAAAATACATATACTAGACATAAGACCTGAAACCATAAAATATATAGAAGGAAATATAGGCGAAACACTACGGGATTTGCACATCAAAGACATCTTTACAGACACATCACCCAAAGCAGTGATAGTGAAGAGAAAGATAAACAGCTGGGACTACATCAAATTAAAGAGCTTCTGCACAGCAAAAGAGACAATAACAAAAACAAAGAGAAACCCCACCAACTGGGAGAACATTTTTGCACCCAACACTAATGATAAAGGACTGATCACAAAAATCTGCAAAGAGCTGATGAGACTCAGCAACAACAAAGAAAATAATCCAGTCAAAAAATGGGCAGAAGAGCTAAAAAGAAACTTCTCTGAAGAGGAAATGCAAATGGCCAACAGACATATGAAAAAATGTTCAACATCACTTGTAATCAGGGAAATGCAAATCAAAACTACCATGAGATACCATCTCACACCAGTGAGAATGGCACATATTAAAAAACTAGCAACAACAAATGTTGGCGAGGATGTGGAGAAAAAGGAACTCTTGTGCACTGTTGGTGGGAGTGCAAACTGGTCCAACCACTATGGAGAGCTGTGTGGAGATTTCTGGACCTACTAAACATAGAGCTTCCATATGATCCAGCAATTCCACTCCTAGGTATTTACCCAAAGGACACAGAAACATCAATTCCAAAGAGCACCTGCACTCCTATGTTTATAGCAGCACTGTTTACAATAGCTAAGCTTTGGAAACAACCCAAATGCCCAAAAATAGATGACTGGATCAAGAAGATGTGGTACATATATACCATGGAATATTACTCAGCATTCAAAAAAGATAAACACATGCAATTTGCAGCAACATGGATGGCACTGGAAGGGATCATGCTCAGCGAAATAAGCCAAAAAGAAAAAGAAAAATACCGGATGGTCTCACTCATAGCAGGAATCTAGAAAACTTAAATAAGGGACCAGGAAAATGAATATAAGAAAGTGAAAATCAAAATCAACAAAAAACTATGAACCAGAGACACTTTTTGGGGGGTGGGGGGGCGGGAGGGGAAGGATTGGGGTCAGAATGGGGCGTTTGCAATTGTATGGGGAATATAAAAATAAAATACATATACTTTACATATGTACTAAGAGACTCATCCACCATACCAAGCAGGTTTAACTCCTGAGATGTGAAGTTGTTTGAAAATCCACCAATCAATGCCATTCACCACTACAACAAAAAGAGAGATAAAAATCATATGGTCATTTCTGGGCCTCCCCAGTGGCACAGCGGTTGAGCACTGGGTTGTGAAGCTGCCCGCAGACTCTGCAGCGCCAGTTCTATCCCCAGCCACCGGGCGAGGATCCCACATGGTGCGCAGACCTCTCCTGCCGCCCGCTGCTCCCCTCAGCAGTGTACTTCATCACTCTGCCTGTTCTGTTCCCCACTGTGACTCTGGTGAATTGTCTCACCCTCCTGCGCTTCTGACTGTACCCAATGTTTGTATAAATAAATAAATAAATCTTTTAAAAAAAATCATATTGTCATTTCAATACATGCTGAAAAAACATTCCACAAGATTCCACACCCACTTATGATAACAACTTTCAATATGTTGGGAATAAAAGGAGCATATCTCAGCAATATCAGTGATGAGGCGGTTAAGAGGGGCCCCTAGGATACCTGCAGCAGATGGATCTTAGGACAGTAAAGTTTTGGAAATCTGGTTTCTTTCGTATGCCAGTGGATACTGGAACCCTGATTGGGGATGCCCTAAATTGGACCATCAGTTCTTTGCCACCACCATTTTAAAAATAAATACCATGTGTAATGAGCATACCGTAGGACACTGACATCCCACAGCTAACATCAAACACAATGGTGAAAAACTGAAAGGATAGCCCCTCAGATCAGGAATAGGACAAAGATGTCCACTCTCATCCCTGCTGCTCACCAAAGTATTGGCAGTCCTAGCCAGGGCAACTAGGCAAGAGAAAGATACAAAAGGAATACAAATTGCAAAAGAATAGAAACTATCACTATTTGCAGATGATGTGATGATATCCATAGAAAATCCAAAGACTCCACCAAGAGGTATTGGAAATAGTGCAGTAACATTAATGTGCTATTTTCCATATGGAGTAACATTGATGTGCTATTTACTATGTGCAAGCTATTTTCTATATGCACTTTTCGTATATGCAAACATTAATGTGCTATTTTTTATATATTCTATATAGAGAATAGGGAAATGGAAAAATAATCCCATTTCCAATCCTCATCTGTTTCTACCAATGCCTGCATGGGAGACCCCACAGCCCAGAGGAGCCCAGAGTAGGTGCCAAGCACACTGTGCACTTGCTACTGTGAGACAGATGTCAGCGTCTACTCAGTATCCCCAGGTATTCAAGGACAACAGATCTGTGAAAGCAAAAAGAGAGCTGCCTCCACACTGCTATGTGTTAAGCTTTAAAAACTGTCAACAGATTTTATGTTCCAAACTTTTCAAGTAAGGCGCAGGTGACAACTGACATTTGCTCTATGTCTGCTGACACAGGATTATTATAAAATTATGTTCAGATATTTTGCTTGCAGATGCGTATATGTGAGGATCAATATTTTTAAAACTAAAATATTAGGAATGATCAGCACATTAAATAACTGGGTTACATATCTGCTTCAAGGCAAATAATCTTTTCAAAAGATTATTTGAAATACCAAGGAGAAAAACAGAGATGGCACAGTCTTATGGCACTGCTGCCAGAAGAGTCCTACGGTATGCTCATTACACATGGTATTTATTTTTAAAATGGTGGTGGCAAAAAACTGATGGTCCAATTTAGGGCATCCCCAATCAGGGTTCAAGTATCCACTGGCATATGAAAGAAACTAGATTTCCAAAATTTACTGCCCTAAGATCCATCTGCTGCAGGTACCCTAGGGCCCCTCTTAAGCACCTCATCACTGATATTAACAAAAGGACAGCAGCTGCCAGTCAGTGAAACCAGGGAAGCAACTGCCAAGTTTTTCTGGAATTCTGCTCTTCTCCCACTTTCTCCTGTGAATGCTCCAGGAGCAACGAGAAACCCAGTGCTCCATCTTTGCACCCTAGTCAATGCTGCCTTGGCAGCCAAAGTTTTAGAAGTTTGATTTGGGGCCTCCCCTGGTGGCGCAGCGGTTGAGAGCTAGGTTGAGAGGCTGCTGGCAACCTCAGTGACACCGGTTCGATCCCCAATTCGATCCCTGCCATCTCAGGGCAAGGGTCCAGCATGGTGCGCAGACCTCTCCTGCCGCGCCCACTGCTCCCCTCGGCAGTGTACTTAGGTCCTTCTCTGTTCTGCTCCCCGCTCTGGCTCTGGTGAATTCTCTTACCCTCCCGCACTTCTGACTGTACCCAGTGCTTGTATAAATAAATAAATAAATCTTTAAAAAAGAAGAAAAGAAAAAAAATAGAAGTTTGATTTGGACAACGTCCCTCCCAGTCCCCATCTCCTAAGCATTCTGGCCCAGGTCATAGGAACTGGACTGTGAACAACCCAATGGACAGAAGGGACTCTGCAGTCAAACCTGCTCTTCCCCTCTCTCCCAGGCTACAGTGACTAGTGCTCCCAGAGTGAGTGGAAGGAAAGTGACCCCTGTTAAGACATTCCACCTTCACAGTTCCTATGCCAATCAATGCCATCACCACCACAACAAAAAGAGGGCCTGAGCTGCATCCCTCACCATACAGGACACATCAGCATCCCATTAGGGGTTGGGGAAGGGACAAGGTTTTCCAACTCTGAATTTTCTATATGAAGCCCACAGGGAAAATATCATTTGGGCTTCAGAAACAGCTGTGCTTGACCCCAAGCAACTCAGGGAATCCTGCATGTGGCTAATCAGAATCCAGCAGTCTCCATGCTTTTGTGAGAATGCTTTTCACACCTAGCAGTAGGTAGAGGCCAGTAATAAGCTTTATCTCTGGGTACTGACTTAATCCCCGGCTTCCCCTATTTTACCTTCCCTGATAATTCAGTCCCCTGAGATTACACAAAATATTTTAGCTTATATATTTAAGCCACCACATGCTATTTTTGAAAGATATAGAAACCATAATCATACACTGAATAATAATTTTTAGAAACATTTCAATCTTTAATTTCTTACCTATATTTAACCTTTATTTTGCGTAGAAGAACTGGAGTGTAGGCCAGAGGTGCGGGGTAGCAGGGGTGCTGGTGAGACGCTTCACCAGAGACATGGTCGGGAGCAAAACAGACAGATTTCCCAAAACATACTTCTAAGGGGAGCCTCGGGTGAGACAGAGAGGTCTGTGACCATATGTTGTTTAGCTCCCTGTCCGGGCATGGAAATCAAGCCAAATCAGAGATAGTGCTGAGATTGAACCACTCACTGGGCCACCAGTGAGGACCCAATTTCTTACCTGGATGGTGAGGTCTGATGGCTCCTGTAACTTGCTAGTTTTAGAGAAGTTTGATTATCCAGAGTATTTAAAAAATCTTCCAAAATAAGACGGGTAAGCAGGAGCCTAAAGTGAGTTTGAAAGAAAAACCAAGAAACGAAGTCAACATTTTGAATATCTGAACATAAAATGTAATGACCTGCAACAATGCCTCCCAGGACCTTTAACCTATTTATGAATTCTTTTTTTAAAGATTTATTTATTCAAAATAGCACACCACAAAAAGAAAACCATCTACCAGATTGCAACGACAGTAACTTGGAAGAACTTCTGAGCCTTCCAGATAGAGAATTTAAAATTGCTGTGATTAAAAAACTGACAGAAGTCATAAAGGAAAACAATGATAAGGGGAAAATAATTAATGACCAGAAGAATGAAATTGAGTCCCTAAAGAGGGAAGTAAAAGAAATGCAGGAGATCAAAGAATTAATGGAGACGCTAAAGAACTCTGGGAAAAGCAGTGAAAGCAGAATAGATGAAATGGAAGAACGAATAAGTACTCTTGAAGACACAGAAATAAAAAGAACTAAAACAGAAAAGGAAGGAGAAGTACGAAGGAAAAAGACCGAAGAAAGACTTCGGGAACTATCTGACTCCATGAGGAAAGGAAATATAAGAGTTATAGGAATCCCAGAAGGAGAGGAGAGAGATGTAGGAACAGAGAAAATATTCATGGATATAATTGAAGAGAACTTCCCAAACGCTAAGAAGGATCTGAAAATTGATATACAAGAAGCAAGAAGAACACCAAACTTCCATGACGAAAGGAAAAATACAGCAAGACACATAATAGTAAAGCTCCCAAGAATCCAAGACAAAGAAAAAATAATGAAACTAACAAGAGGGAAGAAACAGATAACATTCAAAGGGAAACCAATCAGACTGACATCAGACTTCTCTGAAGAAACACTACGGGCAAGGAGAGAGTGGAGGGACATAGTCAACAGACTCCAAGAAAACAGATGCCAACCAAGAATACTCTATCCCGCAAAGCTCTCCTTCCTCTTTGAAGAAAGAATATGGACCTTCCCAGACAAACAGAAACTCCGGAATTTCATTGCAACTAAACCCCCACTCCAAAAAATACTACAAGGAGTCCTAAAGCCAGAACCTCAGAGGGACGAATAACAACAAAAGAAGGCCAAAGAAAGTTATTAAAAGAATAAATAAATAAAATCAAAGGAAAGACAAACACAATGGCAAATTCAGATGCTAACATATCAATACTAACTCTAAATGTAAATGGACTAAACTCTCAATAAAAAGACACAGAGTTGCAGGCTGGATTAAGAAACAAAACCCAACCTTTTGCTGTCTCCAGGAAACACATTTAGCTGCAAAAGATAAAAATAGACTCAAAGTTAAAGGATGGAAAACAATTCTACAAGCAAATGGACCAAAAAAGAAGGCAGGAACAGCTATACTCATATCAGATAAAACAGATTTCAAACTTAAAAAGATAAAAAGAGACCCCAGTGGTCATTACATTATGATCAAGGGGATAATACTTCAAGAAGAAATAACACTCATTAACATATATTCACCAAACGAAGGAGCACCAAAATATATCAGACAACTATTGGCATCTCTGAAAACAGACATCAGAGAAAACACATACGTAGTGGGAGACTTCAACACACCACTATCAACAATGGATAGATCAACAAGACAAAAAATAAGTAAAGACACTAAAGCTCTAAATAAGGATCTAGAGTGCTTAGGCTTAACAGACATATATAGAACACTAAACCCAAAAAAATCTGAGTATACATTTTTCTCAAGCGCACACGGATCATTCTCTAGGATCGATCATATACTGGGGCACAAGACAAACATCAACAGATACACCAAGATTGAAATCATACCAACCATCTTTTCTGACCATGAAGGCATCAAACTAGAAATAAACCATAAAGAGAAGGCAAGGTATTCTCCTACCTCGTGGTGATTGAAACCCACACTACTGGAAGTCCACTGGACTAATGAGGAGATCAAAGAAGAAATTAAAAAATTCTTTGAATTGAATGACAAGGAGGACACCAATTTCCTAAATGTATGGGATGCAGCAAAAGCAGTAATAAGAGGAAAATATATAGCAATAGATGCTCACATCAAGAAACAAGAAAGAACTCAAAGAAACAACCTAATCTCGAAACTCAAAGATCTAGAAAAAGAACAACAAAAAAGCCCCAAAACCAGTAGAAGAAAAGAAATAATAAAAACCAAAGCAGAAATAAATGAAATCGAAACTAAAAAAACAATCCAAAAGATCAATGAAACCAAGAGCTGGTTCTTCGAAAAAATAAATAAAATAGATAAACCCCTTGCCAGGCTCACAAGGGCAAAAAGGGAGAAAGCACAAATAAATAGGATAATAAATGAAAGAGGAGAAATCACAACGGACACAGCAGAAATCAAAAGAATTATTAATAACTACTATGAACAGTTATATGGAAACAAGTTTAACAATCTAAAGGAGATGGACACATTCCTATAACTCTACAATCACCCAAAGCTAGATAAAGAAGAAATAGAACACCTAAACAGACCAATTACAAGCAGCGAAATTGAAATGGTAATAAAAAACCTCCCCAAAAACAAAAGCCCAGGACCTGATGGATTTACAAATGAATTCTACCAAACATTCAGAGACGAATTGGTACCTATCCTTCACAAACTCTTCCAAAAATTGAGAAGGAAGGTATAATACCTAACACGTTCTACGAAGCCAACATTACACTAATACCAAAACCGAACAAGGACAACACAAAAAAAGAAAACTATAGGCCAATCTCCCTAATGAACACTGATGCAAAAATCCTCAATAAAATTTTAGCTATCAGAATCCAACAGTGTATCCATAAGGTAATTCACCACGACCAAGTAGGATTCATTCCAGGGACACAAGGATGGTTTAACATCCGAAAATCAATCAACGTTATCCAACACATCAACAAAAAGAAATATAAAAATCATATGATAATATCAATAGATGCTGAGAAAGCTTTCGACAAAGTGCAACACCCATTCATGATAAAAGCCCTTGAAATTCTTGGGATACAAGGAACGTACCTCAACATCATAAAGGCCATATATGACAAGCCAACAGCCAGTATCATTCTCAATGGTGAAAAGCTGAAAGCAATTCCATTAAGATCTGGAACAAGACAAGGATGTCCACTTTCACCACTGCTTTTCAATATAATACTGCAAGTCCTAGCCAGAGCAATAAGACAAGAGAAAGACATCCAAGGAATCCAAATAGGAAAAGAAGAAGTCAAACTATCACTCTTTGCAAATGATATGATAATATACATAGAGAACCCCAAAAACTCCACAGAAAAACTAATTCAACTCATCAATCAGTTCAGTAAAGTGGCAGGATACAAAATCAACACGCAAAAGTCAGTAGCCTTCCTATACACAAACAATAAATCTGAAGAAGAAGAAATCAAAAAAATCATCCTTTTCTTATTGAAACAAAAAAAAATAAAATATTTGGGAATAAATCTAACAAAAGAGGTAAAGGACCTATACAAAGAAAACTATAAAACACTGTTAAAAGAAATAGAAGAAGACACAAAGAAATGGAAAGACATCCCCTGCTCATGGATTGGGAGAATAAACATTATTAAAATGGCCATCCTACCAAAAGCAATATACAGATTCAATGCTATTCCAATCAAAATTTCAATGTCATTCTTCAAAGAAATAGAACAATTATTGATGAAATTCATATGGAATCACAAAAAACCCCGAATAGCCAAAGCTCTCCTGAAAAAAAAAGAAGGGAATGGAGGCATCACACTCCCAGACTTCAAACTCTACTACAAAGCCATAATCATCAAAACTGCATGGTATTGGAACAAGAACAGACATACAGACCAATGGAATCGAATAGAAAATCCAGAAATAAACCCACAGATTTATGGTCAACTAATCTTTGACAAAGGAGCAAAGACTATGCATTGGAGCAAAGAAAGTTTGTTCAATAATTGGTGCTGGGAAAACTGGGTCGCTACATGCAAAAGAATGAAGCTTGACCACTACCTCACACCATATACAAAAATCAACTCAAAATGGATTAAAGAACTAGACATAAGACCTGAAACCATAAAATACATAGAAGGAAATATAGGCGAAACACTACGTGATATGCACATCAAAGACATCTTTACAGACACATCACCCAAAGCAGTGATAGTGAAGGCAAAGATAAACAGCTGGGACTACATCAAATTAAAGAGCTTCTGCACAGCAAAAGAGACAATAACAAAAACAAAGAGAAACCCCACCAACTGGGAGAACATTTTTGCACCCAACACTAATGATAAAGGACTGATCACAAAAATCTGCAAAGAGCTGATGAGACTCAACAACAACAAAGAAAATAATCCAGTCAAAAAATGGACAGAGGAACTAAAAACAAACTTCTCTGAAGAGGAAATGCGAATGGCCAACAGGCATATGAAAAAATGTTCAACATCACTTGCAATCAGGGAAATGCAAATCAAAACTACCATGAGATACCATCTTACACCAGTGAGAATGGCACATATTAAAAAAACTAGCAACAACAAATGTTGGTGAGGTTGTGGAGAAAAAGGAACTCTTCTGCACTGTTGGTGGGAGTGCAAACTGGTCCAACCACTATGGAGAGCTGTGTGGAGATTTCTGGACCTACTAAACATAGAGCTTCCACAGGATCCAGCAATTCCACTCCTAGGTATTTACCCAAAGAACACAGAAACATCAATTCCAAAGAACACCTGCACCCCTATGTTTATAGCAGCACTGTTTACAATAGCTAAGCTTTGGAAACAGCCCAAATGCCCAAAAATAGATGACTGGATCAAGAAGATGTGGTACATATATACCATGGAATATTACTCAGCGTTCAAAAAAGATAAACACATGCAATTTGCAGCAACATGGATGACGCTGGAAGGTATCATGCTCAGTGAAATAAGCCAAAAAGAAAAAGAAAAATACCGGATGGTCTCACTCATAGCAGGAATCTAGAAAACTTAAATAAGGGACCAGGAAAATGAATAACTATAAGAAAGTGAAAATCAAAATCAACAAAAACTATGAACCAGAGACACTTTTTGGGGGATGGGGAGCGGGAGGGGAGGGATTGGGATCAGAATGGGGGGATTGCAATTGTATGGGGAATATAAAAATAAAATTCATTAATTAAAAAAAATAAATAAATAAATAAATAAAAGAGAAAAAAATAAAGATTTATTTATTCAAATTATTTATTTATTCGTTTGTTTATTTACTTATTTATACAAGCACTGGGTACAGTCAGAAGCACGGCAGGGTGAGAGAATTCACCAGAGCCAGAGCAGGGAGCAGAGCAGGCAGAAGGACCAAGGTACACTGCTGAGGGGAGCAGCGGGCTGCAGGAGAGGTTTGTGCACCATGTGAGACCCTCCTCCTGTGGCCAGGGAGCAGCACCAGGGAGGTCCTATTTATGAATTCTTAACCTTTCTTTTGAAGGACTATTGTTTATGTTCATTCCCTTTTTCCATTTCTAAGAGTAAATTTCTCCTACACATGAAGAATCTCCAGTAAGGCAATTTAAAAATCCTTAGTAAATTTTTTTTTTAAATCTGGTGAAGAATTAGTTAGACGATAGAAACTATCAGATCGTTTATGTAACTTCAATGTATGTGTACTGGCGGGAAATAGCTGTAAATAACATTTCACAGATTCACAAGCCTTCTACTACCCCAGTCTACCATGATGATGTGCATAGCTGTAAAGCAGTTCCCACAATGCTTGAAGACTTTTGCATATCGTACTGTATTTTCTATATCCCAAGCCACTTGAAATCCTTCATGGAACATGGTAGAGAACAGTGCTCAAAAGTACAGCAGATTTCTTTCCTACCAGAGTTCCCCAAAAGTATGGAGTGTTTGCCTGCCAACAGGCATAAGGTAATTTAATGAAAATAACCATGTTAGATGTTCTCAGCTGAACATTTGCAGGATAAAGACCAGGTTGACTGTTGTTTTATATTTTGTATCACTAACCACACTAAGTATATGTGGAAGCTTCCAGATATCAACTAACTCAGATAGTTGGTTAACATGGTGATATAGAGGAAGAGTTTATTATTGCCAATTATTTAAAAGACGTATTTAGAAACATAAATATAAATTTTCAAACATTAGAAAGTGATGATGTTTCACCATTTTGTTTTTTTTTAATTAATTGATGTCATTTTACTTATTTATATACCTGTTAGTTAAGTACAGTATGACAAAGGACTGAACTTTAATTTCTTTACAGTAAAAGCTGTCAAGATTCCTCTCTAATTCTTACTTCCTTTACATCCATCTAAAAATGTTTCGTTATACCTTAAATGTACTATGTAGTTGTCAAATTATCAAATACATAATGTACAAAATATCTAGGATTATAGCAAAAGTGAGAACAGTCTCGCCACACACACTTCTTTCACAGACCTCCTAAGACTACAATTTACATCCTAAGAGTTCTCTGAGGTACTCGGCAAAGCTTTCATCTGTATTAACAAAAATGGAAATTAAGTTGATTCACTGTAGTCTAAAAAAATTTGGTAATGTTTAACAAGGAAACTGCTGACAAATCTGTATGTAAACTTTCAAGACAATGCACTAATAAGTTTAAAACTACATATAAATTAATTACATACACACATTTCTTTCCTTTTTGGGTATACAACAAGATTACTCAAATTGTAAACACACGGTGAATAAGGAAGGTCCCATGAATCTCTTTAAAATGACTTACAATATGCTGACCCCTCCTAAATATAATTCATTTTAAAAAGGAGGAGGAGTCTGGTCTAAATGTCATTTTGGTACACTCAATAATTACTGTAGTGGGCAAACATCCATTACACAAAACATCACCCTAAAAAGTTAAGATGCTGTCTAATAAAATAACAAAAATCACAACTGTCACTTCTGTTCCCCCTGGGAAATATTACAAATACAAGACCATTTCTCAAGTCTCCCTCATGGTCATTTTTAAGGTATGAGAAGTCACATAATCAAATGTACTCTTCAGAGAGGCAACAAGTGACAATAGAAAACTGTTACTTTCCAAAGAAGACTTCAATTTGAGTAGCTCTTGTCTTAGTCACTAGAATTAACCTAAGACTGGAAGTGCACCCCACATTTGTTTCCCACACCAGTTTTCAAGAAGACCTAATGCATCTGGCATTGGAAGACACCATTCTCACGCCAGCCAGTAAACAGCAATTTTTAATTTGTAAAAAGCTATTGAAAGAAAAAGGAAATTCACTTGAATTAAAGTAAGCTCTATCTGCATGCGGTGTTCTGCCTGTTCTCTTCACCATCCCTACTATCTAACCTGTGCTCTCCAGTACCATGACCACCAGTTATCAAGTGGTCTGTTTAGGTAAACATGAAATTGAGTTTATTTAATTTAGACTTGTGTCATTCCAAGTGTCTGATAGTCACATATGATTAGTGGTTACAGTACTGATCAGAGAAAATGCAGACACTTAGATTAGGACAGGGAAGCTCAGCCAGTAGTCAAATGATGAACATTCCCGAAGACTGACACTTTACTTCACATCATCTTACATACCTGAAATAGTGAGCTTTTCAAAAAAACTCCTAACTCCTCTTACTATAAAAATCTCAAACAGTCGTACCTCTACAATTTAGAAAATGGCTCCTACAGAGAAGAATGCCAATTTCATAGTCCTTAAATCCTAAACCATTACCACACCTGAGAAGAGGCAAACCGCAGCGTAGTGTAACTCTTTCCCCTATTACCTCCCGCACAGACCCATGGACCAGTGTCCCTAGAAAGTCCCTGGACTGACCTGTCCCGTCTGTTCCCACCACCGTTTGACCTTCAGCTCCAACTCTGGAGTCCGAGGACCAGGCTCCTTCCCCTGCGCCCTCCCCAGGTCCCTCCCCGCGCCCAGACAGCACCCGGGGGCTCAGCTCCCCAGAGCTCAAACTGCCACCCTAGGGTCTGGCTCCCGCCCCGCCCCCTACACTGGGCCACTGGGACCGTTGAAAGGGGTGGGGCCCGGAGCCCCCCAGAGAAGGTCGCCAAGGGTGGGCAGAAGCCAGGCCCGCCCCAGCCTCAGCCCCAAACCCACGCAGCCCATCCCACCTCCCCAGCGCTGGGAGTTTACTCAGACCCACCAGCTCACCTCCTAGTGCCGCCCCATCCCCAGGAGCACCAGATACCCCGCCGCCTTAGCTAAGATCTTAGGAGTATCAGTGCAATTCATGCAATAAGGTCTGCCCCAGCGCAACACAACCTCCTGAGGCCTGGGCTGGTGTTCTTACCGTTTTTAATTCCTTGTTGTCCCTGTCACCTATTTCTGAATGAATGAAAAACTAAAGGAATGTTCACATAAACGTAATTTTTATAAGATTGTGTGCGTGTGTGCATAAAAGTGAATTCTTAAAATGACTGGACATCCTCAACTGCCTAATGGTTTTGGAAAATGAAACATTAAAAAGTTGATTGGAAGGCCTTTGTGGTTGTGTGGCTCCATTGTTGTGCTTCCTTTGTAAGTGATCAGTGACCTTCAGATGTCAGTGTGTGTATGTCATTTCTCTGGAGCCACATTGCCAGAAGGAATCTTCTGCCTTTTCACTCTAGTGTGTGTATAGATTTGATTTAGTAGGTTTAGATAGAGGTTTGGGCGTCTTAGTTCTAACAGGTTCCTAGTTCCTACTCAGGGTTACACTTTGAGTTGCAAAGCTGTTAATGGGGGTGGGAACGGGGTGTGTGTGTGGTGGAGGAATGTGGTGGTATTAGCTTCTGCCCTGGCATTTTCAGAGGTAAAGTGGGGAGGTAGATTTGGAAGTTGTCGTGGTGGGAATCATCTTTTTTTTTATAATTGTCAGAGCAATGATAAATTTTGTAAATGTAAATGTTTTGAAAAAAGTCTAGAAATACAACAAGTTTTACATGTTCATGTCCAATGGGAAGGGAAGTGTAAACAGGGATGTGGGTAAAAGCAGACTTTTTTATTTTCTCTTTCTCTGTTCAACTATTCCTTGACTCTATTACAAAACGAATGCATTCAGATATTATTTATGCAACAGACACATAACCAGACTTCTCATTTCTGGCCCTGCATGTGAGGATCTTAGAAGTCACTGTTCCACCATAATGACAAGCTGAACAAACTGAGACATCAGCCACTCTCCTTGGGTCCATCAGGTAAGTGAGGTCACAAGACAAACCACTGCCCTGTAACTGGAGACAGACAGGCCTCTGGAGAGAATCCCAGCTACTAGAACAGAAACTCATGAGCAGTGCCAGGGTAGAGAGCCTGTCATCGATGAATTACAGGACATGCAGCATGGATGAGAGTGAAGGTCAAAAACTCCAGCACAGAGAGTCACTGGGCACCCGTGTTTTTTGTGAATTTCATCTTCATGGACTCCACCAGGACTTCACAGTAAAGACTGGAGAAACTGGAGAATAGTTCCCTGTGCTTCTGGCAGGGGAAAGAACTGACTTTGTAATACCAGGGTACTCTGATCTTCTTATCAAAACCTACAATCAATGGAAACTAGTTGACCAGAGGTTCACCTGCTAGAGGTCACCAAACCTAACCCAGCTGGGGAAGTGAAGTATTCAACTCCAGCCCCTCTGGCCATCCTGCCCCACCTGAGGGTGGGGGCTGAGCAGCACTGGTAAAGTTCACAGTGCACAGGCTCAGGCTCACAGGAATACAGGATGCCTCCCCTCTCCCACACCTCACCACGACATTACCAAGGGCTTCTTTCCTGGGCCCTTTACCCTGTGTTTCCTGTCTAGCTACCGAGCAAGATGATCTACCAAGAGAAAAGACTTACCAGAAGACAACATAACACAGCTTAATGAGACAGTGTAATCATCAGCACCAGGCTCAGATACGTCAGAAATGTTAGAGTTATGAAATCCTGGAATTTAAAGCAACTAAAAGTAATATGCTGAGAAATTAATGGAAAAAAATGGATAATATGCAAGAACAGCTGGGCTTTGTAAACAGAGAAATGGAAATTCTCACAATCAAAGGGAAATGCCAGTGTTCTCCTGTCCATGCAGGCTGTGTTTTCTCTACCCAGTGGATCCATATGTGTGTCTATGAGCAGCAAAGGTCCATTTACATAGGGACAAAAAATGCATGTTAAAAAGGTCTGTCCTAATGGCCTCCCTGATGAGGCAAAGGGTTAAGTCTCAGCACAATGAAGTTATGGGCAGCCACTGAAGCAGGAGTTCGATCCCTAGCCAGGGAGCTAACCCACATGGCACAGAAGACCTCTCCTGTCTTGCCCACTGTTTCCCCTCAACAGTGTATTTCAGTCAATACACGGGTTCTGCTCCCCACTCTGTCTCTGGTGAATCCTCTCATCCCCCACACCTTTGGCTAATACCCCAGTTCATGGATACATAAATAAAAATAAATATTAAAAAACAAACAAAAGCCTGTCCTAAAATTTGAGATTATGCCCTTAAACTTTGCTTAAAATTCTTTCTCTTAAGAAATTAAGGTTATAAAGACACTCTAAAGTATAATTTTCCTTGAAATCCCACCCTATTCCTTAGCTCAAGATGTCTAGCCTAGTTTCCACCCTTCAAACAGATTCCTTCTCTCTGTGAAGATCACCCAAATGTATGCAAATAAATGGATCCATTTCTCCTGCTCATCTATCCAATGTTGTTTTCACTACATTGTTCAGCCCAAGAACCTAGAAAGGAAAAGGGAAATCCACTCCCCCAACCTCACAAAACTTACCTGCATGTGTTGCAGTGTAAAACAAATAATACAGTGCACTAGACTACTAGGGGACATTCTGCAGGGGTGGTGGGAGGGAAGGGACTATGGTGATGGTGCATGGGTGAACTGGTGGTGGAAATTCTATGGAGACTACACCTGAGAAAAGAAAGCAAACACTGTAAAAAAAATAATAAATAAATAAATATATTTTTAAAAGAGAGGGGTGCCCATCTGCCCCCCAACCCCCTCTGGCATTGTCTGGTGGTCTCTTCTTCTCATATCTTCTTCTTATCCTGCTGCTGCTCACCACTGAAATGCCAAGAAGGGCACACAGCACACTTTCTATAATTGGAGCAGATGGGTAAGGAGAGTCCAGGAGCCGTTGGTAGCTTTTCCAGTGTTTTATAGGGATTTTGCCAGGTACATGGCAGGTAGGCTTGCTGGGGCCTCCGGGGGAGGGTGGGGGAGCAGTAGGCTTCCCGGCCCCAGGCAATTCTCTTCTATTTCCAGGGTCTCTGGCACTCAAGCTCTCTCTCTCTTTCTTTTTCTCTCTTCTCTGCTTCTCTTGGCGAATATAAATACTGCAGCCATGGCCCACAAGAGTAAACAATACAGGGCCTCCCCTGGTGGTGCAGTGGTTGAGCACTGGGCTGCGAAGCTGTGAAGCTGTACGCAGCCTCTATAGTGCTGGTTGGAACTTGGATCCCCGGCCACCAGCCAGGGTCCCACATGGCGCGCAGACCTCTCCTACAGGGCCCGCTGCTCCCCTCAGCAGTGTACTTCGGTCTTTCTGCCTGTTCTGCTCCCTGTTCTGGCTCTGGTGGGTTTTCTCACCCTCCTGCGCTTCTGACTGTACCCAGTGCTTGTATAAATAAATATATAAATCTTTTAAAAAACTATTAAAAAAAAAAAAAGATGAGCAATATGTGCACTCTAAGAATCACAGAAAGGGTTTGAGATAGAAAAAAAAAAAAAGCAGAAAATTTATTCAAAAGATATAGCTTGGAAATGTCCCTGACCTGGGGAGAGGAACAAACTTCAGTACCCAGTAAGCTCTGAATGTTCAAATAAGGGTGAATCCAAAGAGACACACAGCAAGACACATTATAATAAAAATTTCAAAAGATTAATGTAAGGTAAGGTAAACAGGCTTTTCTGCCCTCCCGCCATTAGGCATAATGATAGAGCCTTGCGGTCCTGAAAGCATGCCTAATAGCAGGCACCTGGAGCAGGGTGTGGGCCTAGGTAGATGGGATTCACCTGGGCCAAGGCCAGGGCTTATAAGGGTGGCACAGAGGAGTGCAGTGTGGTGGTGCGGTGCAGAGGACGGAGGAGTGCAGTGGAGTGCACGGAGGTGCGCGGAGGAGAGTGGTGGAGCACGACAGAGAACAGCAAAGACGAACAACAGAGAGCCTGAAGACAACATGGCTGCTAGAACTGGCAAAGAACCTACCCAGTATGGGTTGGTTGCATTACATTTGGTGTAGACGACAAGACGGTTCAAAGCAGGACGGCTCTATGCAGAAGGAAATGGAATCCTTTGGAACCTGGGGAGGGATTGCCAGGTGGCCAGCCACGAGCAGATGGTACTCAGTGGCCAGCCTCCTCTCCCGGTGGGTACCTCCCCAGGAATGGCCAGAGGTAGCTGGATCCCCAGGGCAGTTGGAACAGGCCCTGTATGAAATAGAAGAGACCCTGGATGGATACAGTGTCCGTGAGGCGGCAGGGGCAGTGGGGTGGGTGTTTCTCACAGCTTGGCGAGAGTCTAGGCAGAAAGAGCGATCCAGAATCCAGCAAGTATGTGATGAGATGCGGGAAGAGATGCGGATACTGCAACAACGCTTGAGGATTCTGGAGGAAGAAGTTTGGAGAAACCAACCCACCATTCCAGAGATGCCAGACTCCTTAACAGGAGAGGGAGACTGGCCCTTTGCCCGAGTCATAGCCAGTGGTGATAAGCCACCAACCTGCGACTCTGGAGATGCCAGACCCCTCCTCAGGAGAGGAGGAGGGGGAGGCTGGCCCTTTGCCTGAGTCTCAGCTGGTGGTGGCAAACCAAACTGCGACTCTGGAGATGCCAGACTCCTCTGACCCGGTGGTGACTCAGAAAATGAAGTGACAGCGACCCATGGCCCCAGGGGGCCAGGCTGCTGGACCTCCACAAATGACAG